TTATTTTGACTATACTGCAGCTATACTATATTATCACAGTGTGACACACACATTTCCCATTTACAATGTATTTATGTTTGTTAGACTCATTTATAGAAGTAAGACACTTAAAATCTTGGCTACTACTTTCTGAGCATCCATCATCTTTACTATCCAGTCCTCTACAAGGATGTTCACATCACAAAAACCGGGATGAGCAGAATGACTGTCTTCCAACAAGATTCTTTCACGTAGTATTAATACTGCACACCTTACATTGGGAAATTGCTATAATACTCACACATACTTGTGTAAATAGTTACTTTACCAGATCGAGCTTCCAGATACAAGCCTGATACAAGAGGTGTGCAACAGTTATTCCTTCATTTAGCATCACATCACCCACCAGATCTATTGGATTTACATACATCTCCTGATAAACCCGAAAGCCTATTAAGCCACTTGTTTTGTTTCGAGTGGAGTTCCTTTGTCCATTTGTCTCATGTATCATAAGAGCACACAGCGGTGCCTCGGAGCCATAAAACTCTGGGACGTGACTTTTTAACTCTGTTGGCATTTACAAGAAATATTACCAACAACAGGATCAATATTTGATTCCCATTTTCAGTCTAACTGTGTTGTGGTGCAGCAGCAAAAAGCAGTTAGGATTTAGTGCTGGCTGACAAAAGCTTGAAACAGTTTGTTTATATGGAGGCACTGAGCTGTGTAATGCCTCTGGATTTCCAAACACTGAGGGAATTAAAGTGTGTAAAATGACATTTCTCTGGAGTTTTCTTGCCTTTTTATCACTCTTTTTTTTTTTTTTCCTATGAGGATGCAAGACTTACTTTTATAGTAACAAAACAAACATGTGGGTAATGGATCATTACAAAGCAGTTTTAGGTTTACAGATCCTCCCACATCAGATGTTGATGGTGCGTATTACACAACCTGCATTGTGAGATGTTGCTTTAGTTGTTAATTTATGGCTTATTGGTTTGTTGTTTGTGACAGTTGTTGTTTTTGTTATATTTGTCTGAGTTTGCAAACGGCAAAGCAAATAGAATATCTGTCTCGTCAGACAAAACGTATGCAATAAATATATTGCTTTGTTCATGGTGCACGGCACAAAAAGTAGCTTTGATGCTCGGATTTTTGCATGAAGCACATTATGAAAAGATGGTAATTCTGTACTTGTCAGCACTCTGTGCAGCAAAATTTAATCCAGAGAGTAATATGTCATGGCTTATTTCATAACAGCAGACAAGGAGAACGCATCATTAATCTCAATGTCCTGAGGCACCCATGCCTTCAGCACAGTGTTACGTAACTTTCTGGCAGTGTGTGTGTGTGTGAGGGTACATGCTTGTGTGTATGAATGAATAAATGTACTACGTGTGTGTGTGTGTGTGTGTGTTCATGTTTATGCATGGGTTAAAGCTGGAGACAGTTTGTCCACAAACTGTGTGGGTGGTTTCTGGTGTGCATTTATGCTTTCATACTGTGTGTGCGTGTGTGTGTTCTCAGGCAGACAGATGTGAAGGATGACTTCATGCTCAGAGATCTGTGGGTCAGACTACGGTGAGCAAGCTCAAGCCAGTGGAAACTGCCAGCAGTATGGAGTCCGCTCCTACCTACACCAGGTAACAGTGCAGACTCACACACAGAGTTAAGTACAGCACATTCAATTAAAAGTGAAAGCTTGTTCACATCATCACTAGATCTTGATCTCTTGTGGGATCAGTTTCCGTATTTGAATTGGAAACACCCCCGACAGCATATTTCTGTGATTCCTTCTCCAGTTTTACGAGGAGTGCACGGCTTCTATCTGGGAACGTGATGAAGATTTTCAGATTCAGAGATCACCTAGCAGGTGGAGCTCTTTACTCTGGAAGGTGAGGTTAACCTTCAGCTTGTTTTCAAATCATTACAAAAAAACTCCCCCAAAAAACAAAAACCACAAGACATTGGTGTCATTTAAATAATGTTAGGCAGCTGAAAAGACTGCAACTAATGATCTGGAACTAAAACCTCTTCAGACTCACATCAGTGTCTGACTTCTTTCTTTCCAGGTCTGTCTCGCATTCGGCACCCTGATCTTGTTTGCAGGCCTCATTGTTGTTTTGGTGGGTTACGCTACTCCAGCCAGGATCGAAGCCTTTGGTGAAGATGATCTCCTTTTCGTTGACAGGTATGGAAACAGCTCAGTATATCATTAGCTGTTATTCTCACACAGCTACACTGTAGACTCAACAGTAATAATGTGTGCTTGATTTTAATTAACATCCTCCTAGACTGGATCATAAAGAAGAGAACAGTGCTCTAGTGGGACAAACATTGTCAAAGTGATTCTCAGCATTGTAAAAATATTTGATCACACACTGCATGGTAGCTGTTTTTTCTAAATAAACTTAACTCAAAACTCTAATCCTACTCACCTTACTAGTTTATACCTCATGGCATCTTTGTCCTGTTTTCGACCAGCCACGCCGTCAGCTTCAACCGTGCGCTGGATGTTTGTAAGCTGACCGGAGCTGTGCTGTTCTGTGTGGGAGGCACCTCCATGGCTGTGGGTCTCCTGCTGTCTGCCTTCGCCAAAAGCTACTCCAAAGAAGAATTGTATCTGCAGCAGAAGTTTAAGGAGAGGTTGGCAGATCTGCATGCAACAGTCGGTAAGGTTTCATTCTCTGCTTTCCTGCTATGCAACCCTAACTCCAAAAAACTTACATTCCTGTACAGCTAAACTGCATTCTCTAGCATGTTTTGAAAGAAACACATTTCCTCCCAGTAAGGTAAACATATGATGTAATAGGAATGTTTTAACTTTCAAAGCCACAAAGTCTGCATTGGGAAGTCAAAGAGGTGGAATTAATAATAAGTCTCATACGGGACATTTGTGTCTCTTGTGGAATATTTATAGACTTAAAGCTGGAGTATGCAGGACTGTAGAAACCAACAACTGGATTTTGAAAGCACAAAGCTGCAAAAAAAAATAAGATAGAATAAAAATAAATAAATAAATCTTACCGTTTCCCTTCAGGTCTCTCTCCAAAGTTAATCCTTTAAAACACATGAACATGCACTGTCTGAGTGCTACTGGGCATCTAATCCATGAGAGAAAACACACAAACTGTCAAAAACATCCCATTCATCCATCCATCCATTATTTATACACCGCTTAATCCTCACTAGGGTCATGGGGGGCTGGAGTCTATCCCAGCTGACTTAGGGAGAAGGCAGGGGACACCATGGACAGGTCACCAGTCTATCACAGGGCTACACTTAGAGACAGACAACCAAGCACACTCACATTCACACCTACAGACAATTTAGAATCACTAATTAACCTCAACATGTTCTTGGACTGTGTGGGAGGAAGCTGGAGAACCCGGAGAGAACCCACGCTGTATGGGGAGAACATGCAAACTGCACACAGAAAGATCCCAGATGTCCTCATTGGGACGCGAACCGGTGACCTTCTCGCTGTGAGGCAACGATGCTAACCACCGAACCACATCCCATTCAAAGCCAGTATCAACAAACATAAGACAAATACCGTCAAACCACTGCTGCTCACAACTAGGCTACGGTGCAGACAGGTGGTGAACATGTGATGAACCTGGAGAAGGATGGAGATTACCAGTACACAAATGCATGCAACCATCTTGCATGTTTAGCGTTATAGGATGTGGCTTTACACTCTGGTGTTGAAGTGTTTGGGCATAGGTGGGCAGTTACCTAGTCAGACATGTTTTAGTTTAGTTTAGTTTAGTTTTGCTTTGTGAGCTCAAACTATTAAAAAAATACAGACTAAGCAATGCATAATATGTAAGCATCATTGAGAATTCAAGTACAATACTCAATAAAAGAGAAAAAAAAAGCAGAAAAGAAACTGATATAAACATAATAATGCACATACACACGTATGTCAACTTATATCTAGTTTGAGAAGGAACAGAACGAAGCAAAAGCATATCTAGCGTTGCCCCTTCTGTACAGTGTCAAAAGAACAAACTAACAAACAAAAAAGAAAAAGAAAAACAAGACCGAGAACAAACTACAAGGCTTCACCCAAAGTGCTGATCATAAGCAGCTATGTGCACAGTTCTTAATCCACATGTTCTACCTCTATAAACAGTACACATATAAATATATATATATGTGTGTGTGTAAGAAGGTTATTCACTCATCTCATGCAGACTGAATGGCATGGATGACAGAAAGCAAAAAAAAAAAAAAAAGGCCTCTGGAACACATTGCATACTCTAGATTTAATATCTAGCCTTTCACAATGTTTGAAGTTTCTCTGTTTTTTAGGGTGACCAGGGTAAATAATAATGTATAATTGGCTGCAATAAATGAAACACAATACAATAAATGGGAAACATACACATTTTTGATATTAGACCAACAAATGTAATCTGGGAGAGATATATGTGTCTCTCAAAATGGAATTTAGTTGTAGAGGAATGTAATTTTTAGCCATAAATAGAGAAAGCGAAAAGGTTTTTTTTGTGTCATTCTGATGTGCATGAATGTGACACTAGTATTAACTCCTTATGCCACAGGTTCCCCAATAATGAGAGCACCAACCCCCGGAGAGGGAAAGGTGCCAGTCACTCTCTCCAAAGTGCAGAACATCCAGCCAGTGACCACAAAGTCAGAGACCTGATCAATGTCCGGATGAAGGCGTATAGTGTGTGTGAGGACTGACTGGTGTGTGCGAGTGTGTGTGTATGTGTGTGAGTGTGTCAATCTATGTGGGCAGTTTCTCTTGTTGAAAGGTCAGCTTACATCACTGGGAGTATTGGTTCCTCATCTTTATTTTCCATGTTTGACATTAAAGTTTGATTTTTTTTTTTTTTTTACTTACATGAACAAAGTTTTTGTTGTCATCGGGTGGACAAAAACTCACAATAATGCAACAGAGCACATGCGGGTCTTCACTCTCGCCCAGAAACAAACCGCAGAAGCAAATTAGCAGAACCCCATCCATTGAACAACAGCGTGGTAGTTTCTACAGGGCTATTGTTCTGTCAAGAGGATTTTTTGTGAAGTCGGATGGTGTTACGGCTGGAGGGCGTAGAGCAGCAGATGCAGTGTTGTTTTGAAGTTATTGGTGTTTGGCCCTTATTCCCAGAAATGATCAAAAGTAGCACTGAACACAACAATCATTATCTCTGGCTGGTGAACATCAGAGGATCGGTGTTTGTATGTACAGAATACTTACTTGTGTACTTGTGTATTCAGCTCGAGTGTTCATCCAAAGACTGACAATGAGGTAGTAGGTAATAGTTGTAGCTTAGAGATGCTTCTTTTTTTTTAGTGCAGTTTACGCGTGACGGCAACTCGAGAAACTTTGCTAAAGGTTCACGGTGTCAGAACAGATTAAGAGACCTTAAGGTCAGATTTCACACTGATGTTTTTCTGCTGTCTTATTAGGACTCGGGTCTTGTTTTTCTCGGTAAGTCATCAGACAGGATCAATACACGAGACCAGACAGGCTTGCAGGAGGGTACACTGCACCAGACAGACAACGCAGAGCAGCATAGTTTGTCAGATTACCTTCTAGATATGACGCATTTATTGTTGTAGACACGCATGCATCCATTAAAGCGTGGATATTTTATTGCAGAATTTGAAATCCAGATATTGTAAGCTCGTGAGTTGGTGGCAGCACTTGTGAGAATCGACCACGGGGCTCATCAGGAGAGGCAAACAACGTGACAGACAGGTTACATAACGGAGGGATGATGAGAGCACATTCAGCTCCTCAGTGAGATCTCGGCAGCGTCACGTCTGACACCACTAATGTCTCGTCTTTTAGGATTTAAAGATGCTTTACCTACGACAACTGCCTTCCTGCTCTCACTTGCGAAACTTGAAATTGCATAGGTTGTGTAATGCTACAGCAGCGATAGAATACAGCATCATCAAAGCTTCGTTTTTGATAGAGTATTTGTTTATGTGCTGTATGTGAAACAAACGTTACATGAAGACGGTTTTTATGTTGTTTTATACAGGTTTTTTTGCAATCACACTTACTGTAACTTACAAGCACAATAAGCTGTTATTGGTCATTTGTTGCTGCTTTTTAAAACTCTGTGTTGACGTGTGTTATATTTTGGGATATTGTCATCACTTTAAATTAAGTTTGTTGTTGTCTTTTTCTTTCTGTTCGACTTGTGGATTTTCTTTTACTGTACATGGTTAGAACAGTGTGACAGTGGTAGTAACTGTTCAAGTGCCATCAAGCTGCAAGCCTCCTAGTGCTGCGTTAAAGTCTCATCTTGGAATCCATACAGATTAACTTTAGGATATTTATTGTAGAAAATATTGACTTAATACGCTGGCTGCATATGTTCATGTAAGTTGACCTTTTAATATCACACCCACGACCTCCACTCTTCTGTCTTTCTACTTTTTTTCTTTCACTCAAATTCTGTGGTGGCCACTTTAACACATTTGGTCTCAGATACAACACAGAGACGTAGCTGTAACCATTAAAACAACTCATAAATAGGATATTTTCAAGGAACTTACTCAAACTTGAGCTGCAAATGTAGAGTGAAAAGAAAAGCTATTATGGGCTCCAGTGTGGTCAGAACCTTAGTAAGTGATCAGTAAATGTACTGATTTGTAATTTCATTCTGTTCCATGCTGCATTACAATCTGAAATCCACAATGGATGTTTTTATTTCTGTCCTGAATCTAACTTTAAGTGTCTTCTGATGTGACAGTTGATTCTCCCCGTAAATAAAAAAGAGTATATTGTACTGTAATTGCAGATCAGACTGGTAATGAACAAATATACGCCAATGAGCCACAACATTAAAACCACCTCCCTAGGTCCAATTTGTGCCACAAAAAAAACCCCCAAAAGATCTGACCGATCTCACCATGAGCACTGGACTGCTGGAGATCCTTTGGGGCCCTGAGGGCTGGGGCCTTTATGGATCAAGCTTGTACCAGTACATCCCAGATCAAGATTTGCAGAGTTTGGAAGCCAGGTCAATGCCTTTGGCTCATTATTGTATTTGTCAGACTACTCCTGAGCAGTTTTTCACGGTTGGTGGATCGCATTAGGGAAGTCTGCTGGCGTTGGAGAGTTTTGTTGGCATGTTGGGGATGTGCTTTCTCTGCAACAACGTTTAAGTAGGTGGTACGTGTCAAAAAAAACAAAGTCCACACAATTGCCAGAACCCCAGGTTTCCTCACAGAACATTGCATTGTGACAAGAGGATCAATGCTGTTCACTTCATCTGTCGGTGGTTTCAATGTTTCGGCAGATCGGCGTAGATGAATGTCTATGAACAGTATATCTATTTTTCAAATGATACAATAAACCTGAAATATCTGCGGCTCAGAGATGTGTGAAAATTGTATTTTTCCTTATTTGTCACAACACATCAGTAGCAAATGAATTTCCCCTCAAGTGGGCCAAATGTTTGATGTAGTTTGACTCTTAATCTTTCCTGCTGTTTCAATTTTAAATGTCTTCATTATCTTAAATGTTACACACACACACACACACACGCACATATATATCAAATCAAGGTCTTTTTGTTCCTAAAGCCATGGTGTATTGCCTTCAGTTAAAGAAAAACAGAGAAGGGTTTCACAATTACAAAATGACAATTGTTATTTTAATTAAACTGATTAAGGGGAGACTGCAAACTGTCATGTGAATCCTTCATTACACTGCGCAGAAGCTCTTACTGTAATCAATCAGGAGAGTGCGCTACTCAGGTCCTTATTAACATGCACACTCTCACACACGTATACGCTCACTGAGAGGCCAGAGGAGGAGATAAGACAGAATTGATGGCGACTCCAGAAATAGCATCTTGAGGATCATCACCTCGACCAGTCAGGGCCGAATGAGTCACACACGATCCCGCCTCCTCCCCTGCTTCTCTCTGCGCCTTTAGCTCTCTGCTCGCTCTTTCTCCCTCGCCCTCCCTCTCACCCATGTTCTCCATCTCTCATGGGATGGTGACTCACAAACACACTGACTGCATGAATCCCAGTTTGAACAGCTGCAGGGATGAGAGGGCAGCGAGGCCATCATAGACACTGAATTAGATCACAGTTCACATTATGGCTTCCTGCCTGTGGGAGGCACTTTGTAGTGGCTTTACACAACCTTCTTTCAGGGTAAAACAGTGAAGCAAAATGACTGAATGGAAGGTGAGGAGACAAGAATGTTGGTTTCCTCTCTGTCAAGAATATAGCTGCTCAAGATAAGATGGCACACTCTGACATCAAGCTACATTTGAAGAGTTCATTTGCAAAAACAGATAACTCCATCTTCACAAACCCACTTTTCCATCGTCTACCTGAGACAATATCAGTCAAACTTATGCTGTCTCTATTTCTGATGTCATTTCCACGGAGTCAAATCCGCTCGACTTCAGTTTGACTGATATCATCTCAAGCAAACAACAAAAAAATATGTTTCCTGAAAATCTACAAAAATTGAGTTATCTGGTTTTGAAAATGAACTCTTCAGTTGGACATCTAACTTTAGTTATGTTAGGCTTATGACATTTTTACGTGAGGCAGATCTGACAACCACAACCTAATTTATTCATCCTTGAACAATTTAGCCGTTCCAATTGTTTGAAAATTCAATAATGTCTTTAAAAAAAAATCCACGGTATTATTAGCAAACTACAAAATATGAGCCCTGTGCACCTGATCAGCAGGTGTTACTATGCGTTACCATGGATACAAAGGTCTGAGGTGGCCTGAGGGTCACTGTTTAGTTGGCTTTTCTGTCTTATGCATGCACTAGAAGAATGGTCTAACGCTATAGAGCAGTCTAAAAGTAGCTGCATCCCACTGAAAAAAGCAGCAAAATTGATCGTCATTGCCTTAAAAAGTTATCAAACTACTATAAAGCAACACTTATAAAACAATAAAAACAACATTCATCTTTTAAACTCAGTGGAGTCATTTTATACTAAAGTAACAAAATCGCAAAGAGGGAGAAAACAAACCGTCCTTTTTTCTTTCTAATTTTATTTAATGGTAGCAGATAGATATAAATAAACAAATTCGACACAGTGATTACTGAATGAAGGACTTTTAAACTATAGTCATTAGGCAATTTAACTTATCAATCAGACACATACAGTGTTACACCTTTTTTCTTTCTTCATTGCATCACAGTTTATATACTAGCTTTAAAAGCTAAGTTGCTTTGGGAAATATTTTCAACAAACCATGCATACAAAATTAATATATAAAAACAAGAGGCCAAGATAGTTGTAGAAATAAATAAACAAATAGTTTTGGTTTAAAACATTTAAAACTGTAACTGTCTTTTGATTTCTCAGCATTACCTACTAGAGTGCTCATAAAAAAATAAAGTAAGGTAACAGGAGGTCTGAATTCAAAATAAAAATATATTGCTATAAGCTTTGATTTATTTAGCCGGTTTTATACATGGTAATTATAGAATAATGTTTTGATGAATATATACTTGATATCATAATTGCTATTATGTAGAAGCCAGCCATTCAAAGATTCTTTTCTTTTATTCAGCTCAGTATTGTAAAACCATCTACGTCTCATTGCTTTGCTTTCTGTAAATTTCCTCTGCCACCTTCATTACTTTATGATTGTATTACTTTCTATTTCCAGTATCCAATAACTTTGACATTTTTGCTTTCCTTAATGCTTTCTGCTTTTGTCTCGGTTCTCTTTATCATCACCCTCCACCTTCTCTCCGTTCACCGTGGCATCTTTGGTACCGGCTGAGTTTTTCTCTTTCACATCCAGCTCTGCTTCGCTTTCCACCTCGTCGTCTTCTCCGCTGACCTCTCCGTTCACCTTGCTCTCTTCTTCTTCGCGTGACTCCGGTTGCTCGTCTTTTATTTTGCTCACATCTTCTTCTTGGTTACTGTTGCTACTGCTGCTCCTGCCGTTATCGTTCTCTTTTGTCTCGCTATCTGACTGAGTCTTCCCTGGGTCATTGCTGTTTTCCGTCTCCTTCACTTCCTCCCCTGTGTCTACATCATTAGTGTTGTCCTTAGTGCTTTTCTCCTCCTCACCTCCGCTGTCTTTATCTTTCTTCTCTTCTTCTACATCTTTGTCTTGCTCCTTTTCACCTCCAGAAGATGTATGGTCTCCATCCTGTTTCTCTTCTTTACTGTCCTGGGTCTTATCACTGTTATTACTGCTAGTTTCTTGCTCCTCACTCTTAACCTCCTCCTTAATCTCATCTTTGACATCTTCATTTACTTCTTCTTTTGCCTCCTCCACTTCCTGCTCATTTGCTGCTGGTGCCTCTTTGCCATCATTTTGCTCATCACTTTCCTTTTTCTCGTCTCCTCCCTCCTTTTCACCATTCATCTCCTGGTCTTCCCTCTTGTCTTCTTGGCTGGCGGAACTGTCTTCCTCTGTGGTGCTTTCAGAAGCGCCCTCCTTCTCTTCCGCCTTTCCGCCGCTCTCCTCCTTTGCCTCATCGGTGTCGAGTTTCTGTAATACAGTAATACCACAGAAACAATTCATAGCTCTAAATATTTTAACAGGCATGCAACCTACGATTGGACTGTTTACAAAAATTCTCTCGACAGCGTCGTGCTGGTTGGTGATTAGCTTGCAAATTCGGACAAAGCAAAAGGCATTCAGGCCTCCACATGCTCCAATATTATATCTCACAATAGCCATTGACTATTAAGCAATTACTGGATAAATAATAGCTATTCCATAGCTCTATAATTATACAGCATTAGTTAGCAGAGCTGATTCTTCACATCACACATGGGTGATATTGATATGAATCCTGTATCTTAAAGCATTAATTAGCGAACACAGCTGAGAGAAGGCAGAACCCAAAACATTGTGTTATTGTATTTGATGTAAGGCAGCAACTAACAGCTACTGTCCTTGTTGTGATTAATTGATTAGAAGTTTCATATATAAAATATTAGAAAATGGGGGAAAAAATGTTGGTCAACGTCACTGAAAGTCCAAGATGACATCATTGTTGTATCTTGTTTGTCCCCACTCAAAAATATCCATCTTACTGTCAAAGATGAGGAAAGAAACCTGAGAAGTTTCACATTTAAGAAGCAGCAATCAGAGAATTTGAAAAACAAAACAAAAAACACCCTAAAACTGGTTAATTAATTATCAAAACAGCGATTCAGTTATGTTTCATATGGCCATCATGGAAGGTCACTTCGAACACAATGCATCTCTTCATGTAAAATCACAGCACTGAATGTTTTTACCGCTTTATCCGGCTGGTCTTGGGGAGGTTTGCCATCAGCGTTTCCGTCGTCAACCTTTGATTCCAGGTCATCTGGAAAGAGAGAGGTATTTTAAGTGAGCACAACAAACAGGAAGAGGAAAAAAAAATAAGAGTTAAAGGTTGCTCCAGTGTGATATTATGACATATCGAAAAGCCATGTGTTCCATCCTAAATGTGTGATATGGTGTCCTGAATGGGCTTGTTGGGGCCGTTACCGTACAGTAAAGTCGAGGGTTCTGCTATCCTGGTGTCAATACCAAACATTTATTCAGTTTCACATGGGTGAAAATAGATATGACTTGCCTGGGCCAGATGAAAAATGACAAAATGGAGAGAGTCATAAAATGGGTCATAAAATAATATGAATGGACGAGTGAGATCCCGTTTCCTGGATGTTACACAATGCAGAGTTTGTGAAGAAAAAAAACAACATATATTGCAAAAGCAATTAATGTTTCTTTCAAACAGATGAATATAATGTGACAGCAGTGGCTTTGTTTTTTTCCCCTATTCTTATGTAACTTTACAGCATACGTCTTCCTCTGTGTGCTCACTACTCTGCATTTCAAGGCCCTGACTTTCCCAGTCATACTTAATTAATTCATTTCAGAAATCCATAAAATCTGCCCTATAAATAAGGGAGCTTTTACTCATCTTCCAGTAAGGGACTTGTTGAAATTAGACAGCTTTTTTTTTTTTTTTACTCAGCAGCTGTGTTGTCAGGCTTTGAGCAAACACAGCACAAGAGTGACACCTGGTGGCAAAGAGGAAAAAACATTCTGGGATATTTCATGGAAGTAAACAACTTGTCCCTCAGACAATGGAAACACGCCAGTGAGAGCCAGTAAATATTTAACAAGGTGATTTAGTTATAATAATGTCACACCGGATCACTAGCATCGCCATCGTGATTAGCAACACTGCGGTAATTATCCTGATCATCACCACAGGTATGTGAGGGTAGGTGTTGTTTTTCTGGTAATACTAGACGTCCCCAAACACAAACATGATCCAGCGCCATCAGAGATTCATCCAGATTCATAAGATTAGTGCCAATGTTGGAATATTATCCCATCCAAGGCACAAAATGTAAAACATACAGAGTTAATTAGGTAAAACTAGTAGATTGGAAGCACAAAATCACAAAAAAAATAAATACCGAAACAAATAGGATGACCCTAAATAATCTTCCACAAGATTAGTTTCTGTTACAAGTAAACTTCTCCCAGTTTCCCCCCCCCAGAGGAAACATCGTCTACTGTCTAAACAGCTGTATAGTGATACCGAGAGCCCTGGTGTTTAAATGAAGACATCATACTGCAGCTACACACTCATTTGCACTGAAGCAATCAGCTCAGCAAGGCAGGTTTGTTGGAGTGCAAAATGAATATAGGGGCTTTTCGGTTTTCATGTGAGCATGTGCATCACAGGCCCTGGAGTAATTAACCCTAAACATCATAAGAGGAATACAACTATACGCTCTGATAAACAACATAATTACACACTTGTTTTGAAATACTGGATGAGACTGAAATTTCCAATCAGAAATAAGCAGCAAAAGAGTGTGGAGGAAAAAAAAAAAAAAAGAAAAAAAAGAAGCTGAACAGTGTGTAATTAATGCCTTTAATATTAGTTTCCCTTTCTACACACAACAGTTAAAGAAGAAAAATGACTCGGGTAGAGATTAGAAGAGTTTATGGAGACATTTAATGCATTTCAAATGCAAAACTGATTGAAGTTTAGCCATGGTGGGAGATGAAACGTTATGGTAATAATAACGGACCTCTTTAAGAATATTTTATGGAAATCACCCGCATTCATTAACAGCGAGGGCCGAGCGATTGAGTGTAAGCAGTAAGCAGTGGATGAGCTGCTATGACTCTAAACATCTTAACGTGATTTGAGGATGAGGCACAGGCTCATGAAAATGCTAAATCAAATTAAATACAATATTTAGAATCTCCCCTTCTTGCTCTTCATTAAATCCGGTAGATTTGGGTTCTGGCATTGCAAATGGTTAGATGTGTGTACGCAAGCGAGTTTGAAATATGAGCATGTGTCTGGCTTTTTTAAAAAAAAGGAAAAAAAACAACTCATAATCAGGCAAACACACACATTATTTCTTACACTACTGGCTCGAATGCAGAAGGAACACATCCACATTTCAGAGGCAAAGCTACATCTCATTCATCAGTATGAGGTAAAACAAGGATGCAACTGTAAGTGGGTATAATTACTCATATAAATGGCTGCTGCTGCCATTATCTTGGAAGGTAAAGTTATAAATGACTGTTGTTCTAGAGACGTGTAATAAAACACAACTGAAGATGAAGCGATAGCCTAGATAGATAATCTCCCACTCCTTAACAAGCAAACACACATGCACGCAAACACGCACACACAGTATGCCACAGAAGTGACTGAACTGCTGTGCCATGTCCAATGATTTAAAATTGGATCACCATACTGTCAGTGCATTACATAAGTTAACCATGAGTTTATTTGGTCTGATGTCAAATTAAAAACCAACCAAACAACCCAAAAACTATTTAGATTTGCTATATTAAAAGCACAGGCCCCACAGTAGGAACTCAGTCACCTTCAATTACTGAGATTCAATTTTTTTCTTTTCTTATTGAAAAACTTACACGTCCACCTTTATTTTTGATGTGAGACTTCATCCTCCTTTACGTGAAGGTTTTCCTTCAGAGAAGCATTTTTTTTGGACTATGAATTTCAGTGACTGTTTGCTGGAGGCTTAGTGTTAGTCTGCCTTCCACTTCAAAGTGCTTCTATTTGATTCAAGTCAAATGACAAAAGGTTTCAGTTTGACCTTTTGTCATATTTAGAAACTCTGGCAAGATTTTCTGGCAGTGTGCTTTGCATTGTTATCATGCTGGAATATTCCTCTTCTGCCAAGTTTCTGCAGCCTGGGAGTGTTAATGCCATCTCTTCAGGAACTTTTGCACTCATGCAGCTCCAAATAATCAAACTCCCACCTCTATGCTTCACTGTCAGGACTATGCATTCACTGTGGCCAAACATGCTGGACTCCATCTGAGCCAAACAAAACTGATCTTGATCTCATCTGACCGAAGAATGTGCTCCCAATATCCTTCAGGATTCTTGAGGTTTTGTGCTGAAAGTACAGTAAACAAGGCTGTTTTTCTCAGATGTCGTCCATAGAGGTTGACATTATGCATTGTCCTTCATACTACCTGAGCTGCCACAGAAATTCTGATTTGTCTTGACAACCCCTGTGCCAAGCCTGAAGCCCTCGCTGGTTTGTTTTTTCAGAGCTAGACTGAACAAGTAGCACACCGTCTGTCGCATCATCGTAGGACGATTCTGATTAGATGTACTATGGCTCATTCTATACCTCCTGATTACTGCTACTACTGTGTTTCCACTGATTTTTTAGTAGGTCACTGATCTTCCTGAAAGCTTTTTCCACATCTGTGAAGCCTCACAATCACATTTTTCGGGTCCAATTCTTTTTCACGTGGAGCCATGATGCAGACATGCAGATAGACACAGCCCGGCACGCTCATTCATAATCATGCAAATCACAGGGGGACTCAGTTCAGTGATGACCGGTTTTGTGTCAGTGATAATAGATGTATTCACTTTCGTTGCATTGAGTTTTTACTTTGTGAATTTTCAAAGCATTCTTCTGCTTTAGATCATTCATTAGAAGAAATAATCTACTTGTCAACATAACGCAATTACTTAAAGACTATTTTGAAGCTTGTACCTGAAATACAAAGTCAAAAAGCTGCCGGAGAACAATTCTTACAAAATGTGGTTTCAGCACAATGTTGGCAAACACGTGTATCTTCTCATTTCTGCTACTGGATGTAAGGGATTGCTGTTTTCTTTTCTTGTTTATTTACATTTTAACAAGGAGCTTAAGCTTAGCAGAGAGATGAGGGGAAGAACCAACATGTGAATAAAGCTTTTCTTTTGTTGGACAGAATAAAAGAGCTGCACTCTAATATCATCTTTAAAAGCCGTTTCACCCCTCAAGGAAGCGTTTTGAATTAAAAATCATACAGTGATATCAATATTTTTTTTCCTGACTCCACAGGACACTGCACCAGTTTTTTTTTTTTAAATAATTATTGCACACAGAACTAAGTTTATTAAAGATTTATATGCTTTTTTGCAATATTGTGCAAATTATTTAATCGAGTTTCACTGAAAGATGGGAAGCCATTTTCCAGAAAATCCCAAAAATTCTTTCTGGGAAAATGTATTAAACTGAATGCAGATAGAAAACAATCCTAGTGAGGGGCTTTAACTCAGAAAATGCTCAAAAACTAAACAAAACAATACAAAATGGTGCACACAACTACTCTTGACCTACCTAAAGATCAGTCATTTTTTATTCCTTAAAAAGAAGGAAACATGTCACAAACTAAAGCCTCTATCCCGGTGATTGAACTGGCTCTACACTGGTTATTGCAGCCTTTCCACTGCTGGTGTTCATCACGAGACATTCAGGTGAACACCGCCGAAAAAACGTACTAGAAAGATGTGTTCCTAGAAATCTTCTGAATGCCACGGTTTGTGTTATTGCTGTGCGTTTTTTTTCCCCTCCCTGCTGCACAAGAACAGAATCTTTGCTCTTTCAAAGTCACTTTACAAAAATCAGTCCGTTAACAGCAGAGGTTGCAATTCTATATAAAAATAAACCTTCGCTTCACACACTACAGTACGTTTAGAAACCAAAGCATGGAAAAATTGCTAACGTGAGCCACCTCTACATTCAGCGGATTAGCTGTGTTGTATTAAATAAACACTCGAGTGTTGAAATACGACTTAATGTACTTAAATCACTCCACACAACAGTCCTTGTATATCACCACACAGTACAGTATATTGCTTATTTACACCCAGTTGATTTAATCCACTCAGCACATGCTTGAGTTATAGTGGGGTGTAAAACAACATGGGTAGTAACTCCGAATGGTAATTATGAAATGTTGCCACTCAGCAAGTGTGCTCCAGTCACTGACCGGGGTCCTGTAAAAACATTTAATGACTGTATG